CGACCTGATATCATATCTCCCCGGCAAGTCGCATTGTGAACAACATCTCCCTGACAAGCTGGGTAAAGCAAACCATAGGAAGGCCATTTACAATGCCCGCAAAGTCTTGGCTCTTTTCCCAAACTCAACAAACCGCAACGGCCAGATTTCGCCCATGAACCTCAACTTCCAAGCGCGCCCAAACTAACCCTAGAACCCGATATCCCAAAACCCGAAACCTGGAGCCTAACAGAGTCTGATGAATGGTGCTGCCAAGCACGGCAAGTCACGGTTTGGCATGGCGTGAAAGGACGCGTAGGAGCAAAACGACTGAAGGTGCACCTGCAGGATTCCCGGGGGCACGGTCACCTCTACTAAATTCCTCTTGTGCCCGTAAGTAGGGGTAGATAGTCCCGGTTTTTAAAAAAACCTATGGTCACCTCTACTAAAATCCTCTTGTGCCCCTAAATAGGGGTAGATAGTCCCGAATCATCGGTATTTAGAGTCTGCTGGAGGGTCCAGGTATACTAGGTTCCCCGGGTGTCCCTTTGAATATGAATGTAGGCTCTTCCTGTTGCTGAAAAAGGAACCCCAAAACAGAAACTGGAAAACAGCACTACTGGGAACCTTGTATGAGCTAAGTGCACCTGAAGGCTGCTATAGGAGTCGAGGAACAGCGACCCACTATACGTAAATGGGCAGGTAAGGGCAGTTCTAGAAGAAGGTCCCTTCCTGCAGGAGTGTAGGATCCCGGGAGGGCCGGTGTCAGTTGGGAGTCTGTGGTGGCATGTGATGAAACAGCCACAGGTCTAGGGTGTTTCCCTTGTGGGTTGTCCTGGCGATGAGGATCCTGTTTTCACGGTCCATGAAGCTGCCCGCAGGACTCTTGCGAGGGAAGGAAGGAAGTGCCTCTCAGGGTGACCTGTATAGTAGTGGTAGCTCCTCTTTTTCAGAAAAGTAGCTCTTCAAGTCTCACTACCAATTGATCTTGCAGCTTGCAGCCGCTCCTCTCTGCCCACCCCAAACAGAGCAAACACTCAGCTCTATGCTAAGTTCCGGGCACCATGGCCTACTCCTTGCTTTGGGGCTGTGCGACTTCGGGCTTCCAAGATTTAGGCGGGCACCCCATAAGCACCTAAACAACAAACATGAGGTTGGTATATCCGCTAATCTTCTTGTTCAACAAAGCAGTGGCTTCGAGAATGCTTGCGCGAACCTCTCAAGCCTCACCCCTCAATTGAGTTGCAAGGATTCCTCCAACCCTGGATTGCCAAAAGGATAGCACTTTACTGGTTTTAGCGAGTTTCTAGCGGGTATCTTATGCCATGTTCGAGATTCTGTGACCCCTTACTTCCGAACCCCAACAGAAAGCTCTTGGCCGGGGTGCGTATTTCACACTTGCCGTGCGGGAGCCGTGGAAGCACTGGTGCATCGACCCGCGCGTCCTCATGCTCCGGATTCGGCTAGCTGCTGTTGATTCTGTTTTCGGGGCTGAATGCCCTAGCCCCAGAAAGGTTAACCTTGTTCAATTATGGAATTATGGTAGGCTTTTATAATAACCACAAAAGGCTAAAGGTGGCCTACTCAGCTACGAAGTTACCGTCGTTCTACAAAAAGCACCCTCGACAACAACCCTACAGCCAAGCATTACAGTGTGTGAAGCATCAAGCAACTCACAGATGTCAACAAATCCCATCGATCATGACAAAGGTGGGTGATAACATGAAATAGTTTGCGCGGATGCGCTGCTAGCCTTTGCAAAGTCCTCTTGTGGATTATTGAAAACAAATTTGCTGGACTCAGCCCTTCGGGAAAACATATTTTGCTGGGTCTAGTTTCATTGCAGTGTCACTCTGAAGCTTGGTGCGGGTCGAGCCGGGAGAAGTTGGCAGCGTCTTCACGCGAGAAAAACTCTGTTCTGTCTGGCATAGATGCTGTTCCTAACAAACCCAGAAGGACATGGTTCTGTAATGATGACCCAATGAGGGACCATCAAAAGATGATCCATATCTCGAATCATACTGACCCCCCGACTGAAGAAGGGCGAAGGAGCTAGCCCAGGGCATGCCCTTTGGGTAGATCGTCTTGAAAACAATACCCCCCTACACTTTTACTCCTATTTTCCACAAGCCTAATCAAATAGGGTATTTCTAAAGACCCTTTCCAATGGGAGTGCCCAGGTGATAGAATTTATGGGGTTTTGGGTGGATTGCGGGGCAATGCTTCGTGTTCAGGGCTTGGGGGCAGTAGATGATGCAGTTTATTTAAATTCTGGAATAGATTGTATCAATTACTGAACAACATCAAGGGGTTGTAGTGTTTGACGGTTTTCTATGTGCTCAAGAGTTCGTGTTGATGTTTTCTTTTGTTCAAACCTTTCTTCTAGGTCATGTCGATGTACTTTTTCTTTTCTCGTGGTGTGTGTTCTTGTATTTCTTGATGTCATAGCCACACTGGGGACAAGTAATAACAATATCTCTTTCTTGTTCACTGCATCTCGCTTTTTGATCCTTGCATTTGTTGGGGTTGATTGCTTTGTCGGTTCGGCGTCGTTGGTTCATTATGTCTCTCTTCTCTGCATTTTAGGTTTGCCATCTTTCCCTGTCCTGTTCCTTGTTTGCTTCGCGGTGAAGATTCCTTCTCTCGTTTCTCTCGGAGTGCATTCGCATTTTTCGGGGACATGGGGAGAGCGTGTTCCCATTTGTCGGGGAGCGTGTTCCCATGGTTCGCGGAGCGTGTTCCCACATTTAGTGGACAAGGCTACTCCCAGAAGACTGCGATTGACACGGTAAAATCCTGCGAACTCAAGCCCTGAATCACCCAAAACCCCATAAATTCTATCCACCTGGGCACGCACATTGGAAAGATGGTCTTCTACAAAGCCCTACTTGATTAGGCTTGTGGATTTATCCGTGTAAAAAGTGTAGTGGGGGGTATACCGGCCCGCGAAAGGCAGTGCATTGGATGTTGTTCATGCGAATCCCCAACTAGACGCCGGCATTCAGAAAGGCAGTGCAAGGCAGTGCAAATCATAGTTCTAGTTGGGGACGGTGGGTCCGAACATAAAGTTTTCAAGCCGATTTGAAGGCCAGAACCTGCCAATCCCCATGAGACGCCGTGCATGCACTGGTCCCCGAAGCATGGTCTGCGTGTGTGTCAACAATGGTAATCCCCATGTAGACGCTGTCCGGAAACTTCTGACGACATACACTTCCAAGCCAACGGAATATCCATTCCCGCATGGTATGCTGTGCATTCGCCCGTGTCAATGACAGAAACATTTTCAAGAATGGCTATTGTGGTTGCCTCCGATACAACTTCCTACTGTTGCCCGCGAAACTTGGGCCAATGTCTTCGGGTTACACCGTTCTAAGCAGACGCCGCGCATTCGGTAAGTCCGAGAAGTCAGTGCAAATCACTACAATCACCATGTAGACGCTCGATTTCAGAGTCACCCGCTCAACACAAACAGCAGTGGAACCACAGTACTTCAAAACCAGCCATTTCCCCACTACACGATTGGTTTCCGAAGCACCCGCTCAAGACACACATCATTGGCATCGCAGCGCCCGACAACCAGCCATTCCTCATACCAAAAACCATGCAATACTAATACGAACAGTAATACTCTTAGACGCTGTCCGGAAGCTTGTGAAGACATACAGTTTGGTGGCCTCCGATACAACTGGGGCTCGAAAATGGGTATCCTAACTGGACCTAGAACGATACCTTGAACGATACCAGAACGATACCCTGAACGATACCCTGGGAAGCCGAGACCAGCCAACCCTCCGTACTAGTACTAGTACTAGTACTAGTACTAGTACTTCTGCTACTGCAACTTCTGCTACTACCACTACTACTACTACTACTACAACTACAACTACAACAACCATCGAAGCCGAATCATCTAGGTTTAGGGCATGGGAATCCATCAAGGATGAAGTTCAAAGACAAAGCTTTAGGCAACAAGTGGTGCTTAGGGTTGGTTTGGGGTTGAGGGCTGGGTTTGGGGTTTGGGGTTGAGGGTTCCGTTGAGGAACAAAGCCAAAATGGTTTCCAGGCAGCAGAGCTTGGCGGAGGAAGCAATACGACCCTTCCCGGAACCTTCTCCCCAGTGTCTGCCATGATCTACACAAAACCGATGCGACTAAGGACGGTGATGGTAGCATGTTAATTTCCACAAGGTGTGTGCAGCACATCATTCGCAGCCGTTGCCAGGTTTTGAACCGACCACGAATCCCCAACTAGACGCTGACCGCATCGCCTTAGCCAAAATTATTCCCCAAGTAGACGCTGTGACAATAAGCAACGCATCGCCTTTCACACCCCAGAGTATTGTTTTCAAGAAACCAAAGGGCATGCCCTGTGCTAGCTAAAGAGCACCAGACTGTAGCTCATGTGGTCTTTAAGCCCTGAATAGACCCCTGCACCCGAAGCCCATAACTCCTATATCTGTTGGAGCCGACAGTCTCGGGAAGGCGGCCCCGTATCCTCCCTCATTGGCCTGTTACAGTTGGGAATAATAAGACTGTAGCGGACCGATAGCCATACACAGACCCACGAATTCGGTGAAGTTGTATATTCATTCATGCGTACATACATACATATATGTATACATATACTTATGTATATACTTACACCTAGACTACTCCCTGCTCTCCCTGCGCTCATCCTTAAAGACACGGCTTGGAAGACATGCCGAGCCGAGGAGCACATGCCTCTGGTAGAGATTCCAACTGTCCTTCAGGAGGGTCTCGATGACCTGACATCTGCACTAGACCGTTTTGTTGCCCGGTTTTTTTAGGGTTTCTAGACTCAAGTCTAGCCTGCCCTAGACCCTAAACCAACAACCGTAATGCAAGGGCCATAAGAATTAGAATAGAGTTTGACATATATTAGACTATACTTATAGGAAGGAACCCTAAGAATCAAATTGCTAAATATTCAGGCCCCTGTATTGGAACCCCAAACTAGATGAAGCTGCTGCAGTTTTACTTGCTGAAGGGAGCTTCCAGTCTCTAGAGCACTTCGCTGACCTCAGATCAGCGAAGCAGCAGGCGAAGTCTGTCAATGGCTTTTTCGTTTAAAGTGCCCTAAACCCTAAACCCTAAACCCTAGCTTCTTTCTCTGCTCCGCAAGCAAAGCAGGAAGTTGCCTGCCTCGGAAGGGGGGTCTAAGGGTTCGGGGTTTAGGGCTAAATTTTCCCTCCTACCTAGCAAGGACATACCCGCCTGGGGGGTTTAGGGCTTATAGGATTTAGGGCTTTAAGCTTCTATGCACCAGAGTTCAGGGCTTTTGAGGCGACAGCACTTGAAGGATCATGGGACTTAGTGACTAGGGTTATAACTAGGGTAACTATACTTATGACCCCAATTGGGTACTTACAACCTTACTTACTAAGTCCCATGATCCTCCAAGCAATCGGTCCAGAGCACCTGCGCGTTATCTGCAACCGCCGAGATGCATCTATGGCTTCGTCACCGCATTGCTTGAGATCTGCAGGCGTTGCATAGTACGCCTTCGGAACAGTCCTAGGCTGCAAGACTTTGGCTGGGTTTAGGGTTTTTGGGTCTAGCTACCATAACCTACCGTTTTTTGGGGTCGCATGTACATAACTCAACGAAAAAATGATCTTGGTAGGTTCAAGTGTGTGAAAGTAGGGTCTACGGTAGTTACGGGTTTGGATTCTCGCAGCTCCGACACTCCGAGTGGGCTGTGCGATGCGAAACCCTACAGCCACTCTGGGGCCCTTGATAATGAGAATATGAGCTTCGGTTTTGGCATTTGCTCGCTCTCGAACCCTCGAAATGAATCATCTGGGGCTGCTGCACGTAAATAAAAATGTCATTAGTGACGGCGAGATATGGAAGAGATTACCTTGGGCGACATTCACCTCCCTGCTCTCAAGCCTTCATCCAACTCGCGATATAGTGTATTGCAGTATAGATTCTAGTACATTGCATTACAGCATGGTATATCATAGTATATCATCGCATCGCACACTTTAGTTTCTCATACTGCCCAGGGTCAGCAGAACAGTGGATGGGTGGCATCCGTGGGCTCGCGCCCGGTTCCTGAAACATCCGGGATGGTGTTGGAGGACGCAGGGTCTTGGGTTTTTTGTCCCTAATGGTTTCTTCCCTTATGGTTTATGGTTTAGAGTCTTGGGGTTTAGGATTTAGGGTTGAGGGCCTGGTGGGGAATCTTATACTAGGATAAGGGTTTGGGAGGTATCTTACGCTATCATAGGTTCTCTTTCAATACCTTAGCGTTTTGGGGTACCTTATACGACACTCCTATAAGGACTATAAAGGCACGTTTGAAGTCTGGAATACTGTTTCGGGGTGCCTTCTACAAAAACCATATACGGACAAGAGGGGAACATTGTGAGTGCTGGAACAAGGAATTTCGGCATCTCCTGCTTAGTCATCCGAACTATACGGGAACATTATGTTTTGTAAAAGTGGGTTGTGGGTATCTTTTGGTCTGGTCCTATAGGGACTATACAGGAACCTTCTGAATGACGAAGACGAAGTATTCGAGATGCAGCCCTTTAGGCATGTAGGTCACATTACGTTGACGGCGGGCAAGAACCTCCACACCCTACGGCAGACAGCTCGGGAAACTCCTACAAAAGAAAATGCTCTGCGACCCAGCTGCTTGAAAGTGACTGTGGTGGCACTTCTCCACGTGACCTTAGATCAATCCAAGGGTACAAGGAGGGACCCTTAACAAGGACCCCTAGGTATATACCCTGAATATAGCTACTTTATACCCATTATATAGCCCATTATAGGGTAGGGGTCCCCATTAAGGGTCCGTCCTTTTCCCCTTTGAATCAATCGTGGCTTTTGGACCTTCGGTCTGAGTTGGGTTGAAGACTTCGGATTTGAGACTTCGGAAGGTCCTACAAAGCCAAACGTGCTGACGGCGCTGGCATGTCCGGAAGATCAGGGAACAAGAATACTCCGAGTAGGCTGTTACACAAGAACGCCCCGCCGGCATAGCTTGGAGCAGCACTGCCTAAACTGCCTAAACCTTTCTGAATGAACCCTAAACCCCAAACCACATGTCAGCCGTCGACCGCTGTTCCGATTCTGCTCCGGGCGGCATGCGAGCCGCACCCCTGCGGACAAGCACCTCGGGGGGTGCAAGTCATACATAAATGCCTTCGGGGTTATAGTTAGTTAAGGTTCTTAAAGGTTGCTATTTGGGTTCTACAGGGGGTAACGGCAATTATCAGAAGGAGCCCACAAGGCCTATATATTATTCCACAAAGCAAGCGGAGAAGCGAAGGGTTTGGGCATTTGGAGCTTTACGGTTCGTACGGCTGATTCAAGCATAAACCACGCTGGCCTGAAATTGTAATGTGACACCTCAGTATTATGTTTTAATGTATACCTAGACCCCCCGAAAGTAGCTAAATAGGTCCAAACCCTATAAAAGGCTGTAATTCTACATACTTTGAGGGTCCAGGTATCCCTTACTTAGGGGGTATTGGGCTCTCACCCCTACATTAGCCACCCTTAGACTGGAGACTCGGACACTTGGGACCCTGCCTGTGTTAGGGTTTAGGGTTTCGATTCTAGGGTTTTGGGTTCAGGGTTTAGGGTTTAGGAGTTTAGGGTTTAGGGTTTAGGGTTTAGGGGTTTAGGGGTTTAGGGTTTAGGGTTTAGGGTGCATTGACGCGGCTTCTTGGTCAGGACACTCGAAAAGCCAACTGCTCTAATGTAGGGGCCTTAGAAATTAGAATAGGGTTTGGGGGGGGGGGGGGCATATTATACTATAACTATAATAAGGAACCCCCAAAAACCTTGTCAAACGATTGAGGCCCCTACACTTGGGGCTTCATGGGTAGTTATAAGTGGGGTTATAAGTAGGGTAACTATAGTCGTTGTAACTCCTATTAGGGGACCTCTAACCCCACTTATCACTACCCATGAACCTCCAAGCAGGCCCCAAACCCCAATACCCTGATAGAATTTCTATAGATCCCTTGAAAGCGGCGCTTAAAGGAACACTTACATTACTTAGGAGCGACCCGAGGATGAAACTCCATAGTCTTGGAGCCTCAATTCTCCGAGAGTGCCCCAACATGGGAGTTTCCGAAAATGGGAGAGCCTAATATAGTGCCCTAAATAGAAGGATCCTTATTATAAGGACCCCGAAACAAGGTACCACCACCGGAATTTTCGCAAACTCCAAAAATCTTAAAACCCCTGGAAAGTCGCGCCAAACACTGTAAGCTCTGAACCCCGGGTTTAGGATTTTTGTTGACGCTTACACTCGGCAATGCTTAGGGTTTAGGAAGTACTAGTACATGCAAACCTTTGCAAGCCTACACTAAACACACTAGCCGCAAACAACACACAGCAATCGACGAGGTGCATCGCTGGTCGGAGCAGCCGGGGTTTCCGGCGAGCTGGCAGAAGCAAAGCTCCTAAGCTGTCAGTAATCGATTTAGGACGAGGGGATGTTGAATTTGGGATGATAAGGTTTAAGGAGTTGAGGGTTTAGGGTTTCGATTTTGGGCTCGAGGATTTTGGGTTTGGGGTCTAGGGTGAGCTTTTTAGGAGTTTCTGTGCTGCCATTCGTGAGTTGTGCAGTTCTCTAGTATGGGGACACTCTATCCGCATGGGGATACCAAGAGAGGACGCAAAATGAGGGAACCACCCACGTCTTACAGCGGATCTCGGCCAAAGTCGTGTAAGCATAGGTTACCATGTTACCATGTCTGAGCGGCAAGCAGACGAACCAATGCTCGCGCCATTGTGGAGGGTGAAAGGTGGTCCATCACACCGCAAGAATCGAGGTTTACAACAAGGCATGCAAAGGCATTGCATATACTCTGTTCTAAACAGAGTAGGAGTGAGTCGAGTCGGAACACTAGAAAGAGATAAGCATATTCATGGTACAAAACAGAAACCCCAGGTATTCTGTGCAACGACAGGGACACGTCCTCAAAGCCCGACAACCATACATGCACACTTGCATCGAGCAGCTGTATGTCGATTCCCGGTGTAGTGCTGGAAGCCGCAGGCCTCCCCAACAAAGAAATCGACTTGAGATTTGGCATGAGGTTTGGAAAGGGGTTTCGGAACTTCGGGTCATGCTAGGGAAGACCAGACCAAAACAATGCCGAGAAAGAGCGTATGTAGGCAGGAAACTACTATCGGCGCTTATGCTCCGGACTTCTATCAAGAACAAAATTGATGAATGCTTGATGTTCTACAGCTCGTCAAAGCAATCTTAGCCCCATGATGCTCCTCTTCCTCCTAATACTACTGCCACCACCACTACCACCACCATCACCACTACCACTCCTACTCCTACTACCACCACCACAACCACGACGACGACGACTACTACTACTCCTCTTGCTTCCGGTTCACGACCGCTACTACGACCACGACCACAGCCACAGGGGCCGCGTGCACGACCAAGAGTGGGACGATGCTCTTCGGGTGCGCCTTTGCCGATGCGTTTGACTGCCCGGACGCACCCAGCACCGCCTCGCTGCTCTCGTCAGTGCCTTTCGCAGGGTTTAGGGTTTAGGGTTCAGGGCTTAGGGCCTAGGGCCCAAAACGAAAAGCTTCCATCTTGCAAGCCTAGCTCTCCGAAACCCTACAGGCCCGAAAGTGGTTCAAAGAACCGCTCTTGTGGAACCCTACGCCGACCCCCTCAGCCCCCAAAACCCCAACTCCTTTCGGATAAAAGGCTTCCAGCAGTGCTGCCTGGTTAGATTTAGGAATCGGGTTCCAAAACCCGGAACCCTGGCCTCAAAGCCTTGCAAGCCGTGCCAAAAAGCAGGGCATAGGGTTTAGGGCTTGGGTCCCTAGATAAAAAGTGAAGTTACGACAGTTACGACCCAAACCTAAACCCTAAGCTAAACCCTCAACCGTGAAACCCGGTCACATGCTAAAACCATGCCTTCGCGAGACTGGAGCTCTGTCTCTGCAGCGGACTTCAGCCGCTTCAGCTCGTCAATGCCTAGAGGTGTTCAAGGATTCGATTGAAAGCTGTGGGATTTAGGGTCTTTTTGAGCTTAGGATTTAGGGTTTAGGGTTTGAGGGATTGTAAGGAAACCCGAACCCTTTTCCAAGCATGTAGACGTGCTTATTTCACTGCAACCTGACATGGACACATCTACAGCCATACTCTTATCCTCTAACTCATCTAAATACTTATAAGCCTCAAAACCCTAAACCCTAAATTCTAAACCCCAAAACCTTAATCCCTAAGCTCTGAACCCTTACCCCTAGTGAGCAGGTTGGGTGCTTCGAGAACTTCGGAACTCAGAAGCGCCGGGCGTGGGGGTGACTTGAGCCTTGAGCCCAGGGCGCGTCCTTCAGAAGCCCAAGCTCTGCAGGAAGGTTTAGGGTTTAGGGTTTAGGGTTAGGGTTTCAGCACTCACACTCGGACAAGCCGAGGCGAGGTTCCCGGAAATGCTCGTCGCACACCGCTTGGCTGGCTCTCAACAGGAAGGCCTGGCGCGGTGGAAGTTGGGTCTCCGCTCAGTGGCAATCCTTCCAATGGAGTCGTCTCCTGACCCATCTCTCCATGAACTAGAGCCTCAGTTGCCTTCCGCTTACGCTCGGACAACCCTCCCACGATCTCGCGCAAGTCCTTCACGTTGGTGGACAACGAGCTGGGTTCGATCTCCCTCCGGCCTGCGAGCGTTTCCTCAGCATTTCGTAGTGCCGCGCCTCCAAGCTTGAGACGGGCCTCCTGGAATGCATCAAATCCTTTGATGGCTCCAAGTGTCTCGACCATAATGACCTCTTCAAGTTCGACATTCACGTCATTGGGCCCGAAGCGAGGCTGGATTGCAGTCTGGATGACATTGTGGAGAGAGTCTCGCAGAATGCCATGCTGCCTTGGGATGACACCTCGGCGGGGTCTGTCGCTGTCTGCAGCTCGAACGTTCCACCGGCCTGCTCCTCAAGCGCCCTCTTAGACGATCCTCCCTTGCCTATGAGAAGGCCCACTGCCTCCTTCGGTATCTTCATCTTTACCGAGAACACCTGCTGTGAAGGTCTCGAAGTCTGATCCAGGCTGCGGGGGGCTCCATCTCGGAGATTCGCCCTTGGGAGGCAACTAACAGCTAAGGGTTTAGGGTTTAGGGTTTAGGGTTTAGTAATCAGAGTACCTAGAGGCTCCATAGTAGGTCCTTTTGGGGGTTCATATTTAGAACCGTATAAGGTAATCCCAAAAAGGAACTACTATGGAGCCTTAGGGTAACTCGGTGCCTAACCAAACTGTTGATGGACAAAATCCCGCACTACCCATTATAAGGAATATACAATAGTTCCCATAGTTTAGAGTCCTTAGGGTCATGCAGGATTTTGTCCATCAGCAGTAGTAACTGTAGTAACAATGGCAGCGCGTGATGGCGGGACATCTTTAGGGGTTTAGGGGTTTCAGGGCGAGGGTTTAGGGTTCAGGTGGGATAAAAGAAGGAGTTAAGAACCCCAAGCCCTGCAATCATGGTTAGTAATCATACTAATCAAAGTAATAGTAGCAATCATAACAAAGTAGTAATAGCACGAATAGTAGTAATTAGTAAAAAAATTGGGGTAAACCTCAAAGAGTTGGACACCGGATTAAGGACAAATGGTGCTGGGATTCCCTACACATTCCTCTTCAGGATTGAGGCTAATTACTGGGTTTCCAGCTTTTAGGCTTCTATTGTTACCCCTCAACCCTACCCTAAAGCCCAGAGAATAAACCCTCAACCCTACCCTAGAGCCTGAAGGGTTAAGGGTCCATCAAAGATTTGATTCAAAAGATCTGCCTCGACCCTCCATCTGCTTGGAGGCTCTTGGGGTAGTTATAAGGGTTCCTTTAAAGGCCCCTTTTAAAGGGATCTTTACGGATTCTATAAGGGTATAGGGTTTAGGGCCTATTTGGAGGTTCATGGGTAGTTATAGGTAGGGCTATAAGTCCCCTTATAGGAGGTGTACCTGTAGTTACGAAAATTATCATATAACCTATCTTATAACTCACCCTTGTTCGACCCCATTATTTGGGACAATATAGCTATATCAGAATTTCCGTTCAAAGTACCTTATTCTGTGGTCCTTATAGTAAGGTTCCTACGATCCCTAAACCCTGAACCCCTGGACCCTAAACCCCTATTGTTTAGGGTACCCCCCCCCCCCATTTTCGGAAACTCCCATATGTGAGGGTACCAGCACCCAGAGAGCCCAATACCCCTTCATTAAGGAATGTACCTGAAATCATAATATGAAGCCCTATATAATTTAAGCCATACTGTATTCCTTAATTAAGGGGTATTGGGCTTTTTTGGCACCAGGAGGATCCTGGTGCCCACAACCCTTTTTCTCTCACAGGCACTCGCTTTTTTCTAAACCCTTTTGCTGCAGAAAAACCCTAAAACCCTAAAGCCAAAAGCCCTAAACCCCGAACCCTGAGCCCTAAAGCAGAAACCCTCAAACTCCTGTTCCGAGGCTTCCGCAGCAGTTCCTTTACAAGGCCGGGCTCTGGAAGCGCTGTATGAGGATCTGCTTATAGACACCTTTAAGGATCCCTTTCAAGGAACCCTACTTTAATTATCAAGGCCCCTAATATTAGAACCCGACTCCCTTAGTTTCCCAATAAACCACAGAAATACAAGGTTAAACATTCCGAATCCTACTAAACTAGAACAGCCCCAAAAGTTTAAGGGTTGGGTATTGGGGATCTAGGGGACTACTTTGGCTTTCCTGCCGAACTATCTTCCTCCCGACATATCGCATACACAAAACATTGCAGCTTTCTACCCTCCAGCCAAGGGACCAAGGTCTTCCATGGAGATGTTGTACCTGTAGCAGCACGGACCATGACAGTGGAGTTTAGGTGCGGGTTTTAGCTGTCGGGGCCCTAAGCCATAAGCGACTTCAACAGAGGAAGCCTGACAGTGTCACTGCTCGAGAGGTCTGAACCGAGAGGTTGCACTTAGGTAAGAAAAAGGAGTATTTTCCGGAATACGCTTGATCCCACGACTGAAGCCCTCGCACGCCCCCACAGCTTAGAGCAAAACATCTCTGAGGTACATGAGTATCTGGCCGCATGCAGGCCCAGTGGTGCATGATTGTCACGCTCAGCCAACATACCGCGGACACCTCTGGAAGTCAAAGCCCGTGATAACAAGGGTAACCAGCACTCAAGTTCTTGAATGTGGATATCCGGTTGGACCCTGAATCATGAAGTCAAGCCAAGCCCCATAGACGAACAGAAAAGTGAAAGCTCGGCAGGACGACGCACTTGGGGACGCGGGACTTCGGGCAGAACGGTGGATACAAGGATGCGCGCGCGCGCGCGCGCGTGTGTGTGTGTGTGTGTGTAAACTGCACGTGTAGAGTCTAGAGGAATTTTCCTTCCATGTTCTAGAGATGAGACAACCTTTTCTGAGAGCACATTTCTGAAACCCTCGAAACCCAAGGTTTTTGGTGGTAAGGCTGTTTCGTAGGAGGCATGCAAGAAGAAGTAGGAGTAAAGTCCAGAGCTTGAGTACATGTGCTATGCGCAACCGGACCGAAGAATCAATGACTGTATACACAACGACTAGAACGAATCCACGGGAACGAGCATCAAAAGGGTGAGCATAAGACTCACAGTTGGCACCAACGCCGTATTATCTTGCCTTTGGTTAGTAGGGAATGGAGGAATGGGGTACAATTAGAACTACTATTACTACCATTCTTCCATTGCCTACTAACCAAAGGTAAGTTATTTGGGCATCAGAACCTGCGGCACTGTGTTCCTTCGCTTAATATAGGGGCCTTAATAATTTGAATAGGGTTTTGGGGCCCATTATACTATAGTTATCATAAGGAACCCCCAAAATAGTATTCGTAATTATTACCTTAAACCTGAAGAACCTACCTTTTTAGGGCTCCTTACTATAACTTCTTTATATAAGTCCTAAAAAGGTAGGTTATTCCGGGTTAAGGTAAGGCCCCTTTAGGAAGACTCCAGGGTCGGTCTTGCACATGCCCCCCCACGGAAAGCTCAGCTGAGCGACTCCTTTTTGTCCGCCTCGGTGATGAAATCCTGGTTCAGAGTGTTTTTTTGAGCTCCTTTTTATGTCTGCCCGGCTGGTCGTGCTGGTTCAGAGCGTTCAGAGTGTGTAGGGATGCTTAGGGTTTAGGGGTTTAGGGTCTAGGGTTCAGAGTGTTGGTTTCGGTTTTGGTGGTTCTATTAAGGGTTCAGTGCTCTGCCTAGTGCCCACCTATAGACCCCCCAACCTGGGGCGTTATTGAAAGGGCCAGAGTCCTGGTAGGGCACCGTCCGGTTGATGGGTGCTTTTTGGCTTTACTAACCCCCTCCCCCCAACCCCCTCCAACCCTACAACTGCCGCCAGGCAGAGCCTGAAATCCTACGGACATCTCTATGCCGATACATCTCCGTACCGTCACTCTTGCATTCCATGGCTTGCGAAGTTGCTCTCGAATATTAGTACCATCAACTTTCAACTAGGACCCAAGCCTGATACGTTGAGGCGGAATTAAAAAGGGCTGACCATGCGCGACCCGCGGAAACGTGACCTCTGCACAATTCGTGGACAGTATTTTATTTGCTGACCTGCAGCTGGGAACTGTGTGTCCGGTCTCATGTAGTTTACGGTGTAAAACGAAAATCCCAAGCCCCAAAACACCCAAAACCCACCAGCAATCTAAGATCGAAGCCCTGAACCCTCAAATCCAAACTCTAAACCCCAAACCGCAGATTTCCTAAACCCCATATCATATCCCACATCGTAAACCCCAAACCCCTAAACCCCAAAACCTGAACCCAAAAAAGCCAAAGTTCCTTAGAACAGAAAACCAAACGGGAAAAGGATGGACCCTTAATGGGGACCCCTACCCTATAATCGGCTATATAATGGGTATATGATGGCTATATTAAGGGTATATTACCTAGGGGTCCTTATTAAGGGTCCCTCCTTTTCCCCTTTGAGAAAAGGCCTGGAAGTCGAAGCTGAGATCGACGGCCCAGTTGTCCTCCTAGCCATCGGGGCTGCTTTTGGTGATTTACCCAGAGGCCCCAGAGTAGTTCTTGTTTGGGATTACCTTATTATAGGGATCTATATACGAACCCTAAAAAGGAACCACTGTTCCTGTTTGGGATTACCTTATAGGATTCTATATACGAACCCCAAAAAGGAAACTTCGGGGCTTAGGGTAAGGTTTCCTTTTGTTTTAATGGGGCTTGCGGGTGCATGGTTCGCGGTCTAGGGGTCTACAGCGATTCTAAAGTTCCCGGGGTTCAAGGCTTTGCATGGGGCTTTCTATCCGTGTTCCGGCTCAGGAATTCGTGGGTTGTTCGTTGGGGCCTGGGTGCAGGGTTACAAATGAAACCTACAAACCCTGGGCCCCTAAACCGTGGTTTGGGGCAACAGCTGTCCCTATAAACACTACAAACGTTCCAGGCCTCCTCGTAGCTGCCCTGAGTCGCGCGGTGCTGCAATGCATTCCTGCAGGTGAAGGCTCGCGACCACCACCAGCGTTCAGGGTTTAGGGTTTACGAGATAGGCATAAGCCCCAAACCCTAGACTCGAACGGTTTGCGATGTCTGCTCCGGGTGTTCAACGGCATCTTACAGGGTTTCATGCGTGTTCATCAGGTTGTAAAATAGGGGCTCTACAACAGCGGAACTACAAGCGCTTGCAACGCATCCGAGTCTCATTGCGCAGGTGCCCGCTGCCATGCATTCGTCATCCTGGTCGAGAACACCTCGCAAGGACAAGAAAGCACAAGTTCGAAAACTCTGAACCCAAGACAAAGGATTTATGTGATGGGCATCTGGTGACCTGAAGCCTTCAGCTTGATTGAGGACCGAGATGCGACAAGGAAAACACTGATAATCCAGAATGTTAGGGGCCTTACAGATCTATCGGAGTGTTCTGCTACACATTCGGGAAGTACTCAGATTCTCACCGGCCCACAGCAACTGCTTGTGCCCCAAATTCGGCATCCGCTATCCCTATCCTTAGACCCAGCCTCTACAGCTCAATATAGGGGCCTCAATAATGATAACATTAATAGGGTTTTGGGGCCCATTATACTATAACTATAACAAGAAACCACCAAAACAACAGTATAGAAAATTATTAACTAATTCAGCCCCGTATATTACAGTCTTAACATAGTCGCGCCCCAAGGCCTGGCCAAAAAGGGCATCAGAGCAGCAACAAGAGGAGTCATGACTTAGGATACACCCTCCCTGATATCCAAAACCCTACCATTTTGAGGGTTCATACTGCTGATGGACAAAATCCTGCATTACCCTTTATAAGGAATATAGTTCCCATAGTTTAGAGTCCTTAGGGTCATGCAGGATTTGGTCCATCAACAGTACCATGCCCTCTAATCATTGTCTAAGGGGCCAGAACCTACCTTGTTGCAAGGTTTGGGTATACAGGTCGCAGTCGTAGTACAGGGGGAGCTGTAGCACAAGCAGCGCCGGAAAAAGAGTAGGCAGCAGCAACAAACAAATATACGACTATGCATGCGCATACCCTAAGGCTCCATTGCAGTTCCTTTTTGGGATTACCTTATAGGATTCTAAATATGAACCCCCAAAAGGAACTACTATGGGACCTCTGGGCATGCATATAACAGCAAACGAAAAACTGGTATCATGATGATGGCATTCACCAACAAAGCAAGGTAAGCACCGCGGTAGCACCCTGCTTGATCCTTTTCTCCAGAGCCTTAATGTTAGGATGGCGAGTATATGGTTCCTGTTAACATAGCGGCTTTGTTCACTAGGGGTCTACATTGAACTGAACGCTGCCGTTAAACCCTCATAAACAAACAAACACCCTTGTCCAATACATGCAGATCCCTCTACCAGCCCTTATTTTACCCTTGAGCTGGGTGCGTGCTAAGGAACTTAATTTTAAGCTACCATGCTACGGAAACCACATAATTGGCTATAGATCCATCCATAATAATAATAACAATAATAATAATAATATAATAATAATAGTAATAATAATAATAATAATTTATGTGTGTGTATATATATGTCCCCCCTTTATGGGGGGGGGGGTAGTCCTCGATAGGGGGGGGGGTCGGGGAATAGGTTGCTGCCTATTCGTGTTGGCTTGCCGACGTGGGGGGGGGGTCAAGGACTCTCCTCTCTCTCACGCTGTCTTGCATCAAACATCATGACCCTGAGCAATAATCTCTTTCCCCAGCGCTTCTAGCTGCTCTAGGTTGTGCTCGACAAACCCCCGTCGAGCCGAGTGAGACTCTGGTGAAACTTTACGCCGCCGGCATCACCACCGCTGGCTTGGTGGACGAGTGAACGCCAACCAGAAACTTGATCACGAGACCCTTGGAGGTGGCGGCACCACCTGCGGCATGGGGGACTTAGGGATGCATAGGGCTTAGGGCCTCAGGTGTTAGGGCGAAGGCTCCCGGCCTTCCTTCGGAACCAGCTCGGAAAGCTTTGCATACACGGACTTGCTGAAGGCGTATCCTTTTTGCTTGGAGAAGAGGCTTAGGAAGTAGCTCGGCACGGAGGCCAAAAGGACATCCCACTTCTGCTTGAGGTTTTTCCCTTTGGAGAGAGTGACGTAGCCCTCGACGACCCAGCTTTGCCCGGCAGAGGTGTACATCTCAAGGAGGCCTTTCATGAACTTGATGCATGCCTGCTCGAGCTCCGCTCTCATGAAGGATCGGTCGTTGAAGACCACTGTCACATCAGCAGCTGCGGAAGCGGGCTGAGCTGCGGTCTCCGTCTCTGGCAGCTCGTCTCCGGTCACCTGTGGAAGGACCTTCTTGCCCATTCTCTTGCTGTCATTGGCCGTGGATGCATCGAGCTGCACATGAAGACGGGTCTGGCTTGCCTGGCACTTGGCACGAACCTGCGGGGCTTAGGCTTGGGATGCCTAGAGGATTATTTCTTTGTGTATTCGAGGAAGCAAAAAAAATCGCGGGCTACATTATCTAAGGTGTATTGTTTCGGGATGTGACAAGAGAACCCTGGGTGATAGGATGTCAAACCTCGGCATAGATGGTGTTCACGGGGTCGAGCAGGAGCACTTCGGAGATGCAAGAGGTATGAAAACACAACTCTCGGTCACCCTCAGAAAGCACGGCCAGATGCACTCTGCGGGTGCTCGACACTGGAAGGTCAGTGGCTGCCGGCTTGCTCGTCCTGACCACGAGCTTGTCTCCTTGCTTTGTCAAGGAGCCTCGAAACACGGTGAGCACCACGCCCAATCCTGGAGCTGCATCGATTCCCTTGCGCTGGTACACCACGATCTGAGGATTCTCATCGCTCAAATGTCGGAAGGCTTGCACAGCCTGCAGGCCCGCATCAGCTCCAGGCTTCTCCAGGAAGCCTGCCACGAACTTCTCCGTCGCCTTCTGCCAAGCTGCTGCCCTGCTTGTCCGCTGCGCACAAACGGAGGCTGCCCTCCGGGCTGCCGCGAGCTCCGCCTCGCGAAGGTTGAAAAGGTTGAGGTTGGTCCGGCGGTTCTCTAGCAGTGCCTGAGACAAGACACCCTCTTCGAGCCGCACCAGGCGAATGAACTCACGGGCAGGCCCCATCACGAGCCGTGCACGTTGCAGAGCTGGGTAAGATCCTTGGCCGCCCTCTTCGCCGACGATGTACTTGGAGAATGCAGGCTTCGCCATGGCCTTCCGCACAATGTCCTGCAAGGTCATGGGCTGGTGGCTGCCTTCCTCGCCGTCCTCGTCGCGAGGCACCAACTCCTCTGGATCCGGAACCTCCTCGAGCTCTGGAGCGGCAGCGTCAACAGCTTCCTCATCGGGACCTCTCTGGAGCTCCTCCATCACCACAGCTCTGTCCTGCACGGCTTCCAGAAGCTGGAGGTGGTGCAGCTGCACAGCATCATCACCCGCCTCCTGAACCTCGGCCTCGGGCGGATGCTCGTCGTCGTCGGCCTCCACGGCTACCGAAGCGCGGAAGTAACTCTCACTGCTGTTCTTCCACCAATGAAAGAACTTGAAGCTGAGCTCGTCGGGAGTCTCGTCGACACAGTGCATGCAGAAGTACTGGATGGCGGACGCCAGGGACTTGTTCGCAATCTTGGCTAGCAGATCCTGGTATATAGAGGGCTTCGGGCTTGGACTGGCTGAGGGTTTCTAGGGTTCTGGGGTTGGGGATGGTTGAGGGATGAGGGATAGTGCGAACGGTTTGGCGATTCTCCTCCGTGAGTGGCTCCCGGCACTGAACCGTCTGGGCAGCCGACAAGGAATCCGCTGTCTCCTTTTCCAGCTGCTTGGCTTGACGACCGTTGAGGCGGGCGAGCCCGAAAAGACCGTCACGAAGTGTCGGCTGGCCCCTGTACGGAGCCTTGACCCGGGAGAAATGTTCCTCAACAGGCCGTTCCTGGACTAGCTTCGGCTCCAAAGAAGTCATGGTGGAGGTGATGATGTTGGCACAGAGTGCACCTGCATTGCGAACCGTTGTCTGGTGGATGCTCTGGCTCTTGTCCCTCTTCTTGTGGTTGTTGTACACCACATGCAAGCACAACAGGTAAAATGCCGAGAATGAGTTCGATGCATGCTGCAGCTTGGAGAACCCTCTCGAAGCCGTCGCTCCACTCATCATGAGGGCGGCGATCAGAGCATGGAAGTGCTGCCCCAGTGCCGACCAGGTCCTCGTCAAGAAGGGCGGCGACATCCGCGAGATGGAGTCGCGGTCGCTTTGATGATCTTGTACCACAAAGGCCCGGATAGGTAGCTTTGCCTGGAGCTGTGATGCGAGGTCGACCCAGACATCGGCGAAGCGAGCTTTGCGTGCTCCACTCAGCACCTGAAGTGCAAAGCGCTTTTGCAAGTGCCAGGCACCATGGAAGGAGCACATCAGCTCCGATCCATGCCGAAGCTGGCCGTAAGGCCAATACCGGAGCTTGGTCAAGTACTCCACATGGCAGCCGGAGAAGAAAGGGAGAGCCTCCCACTCCGACTTCGGCAAGAGACCGATGAACAAGCTGTTGATGCGGGCATTCGCAGTGCAACCGTCGAAAGCCACGCCCGCAGGAGCCAAACCTCCCGACCCTGCCCTGTACTGCTCGCAGACCTGCCCGAGCAGTTGCAGCATCGTCTTCGAACAACCGATCACCGTGGCGGTTGGCATGCAAGCGACCTCAAACACATACCGAACGTTGTCTGTTCTGTGAGCCACGAAGTGCAAGGCGGTCTTAGCCAGGCGGTCCTTGGGCAACAGGTTCAGAGGATGATCCTCGGGTGTTAGACACGACCAATCCTCGCCTCCATGTGGATCCCAGGCGCCACCGATGATGCGATCCTGGCCCTCCTGCAAGAGGCGAGCCTGCTGGTAGCTGGCACTCCAAGTTGTCTCATCCAAGATGATGTGGAGCCGTTCCGAAGAGGCCTTGAGAAGTTCATGAACCCTCACGAAGCCATCCTTGAGCTGACCTGGCCTCGTCAGAGACATGAAGCTGTCGGGGAAGGCCGGATTGGCGAGGTTGACACGCTTCACGACATCGGGGTTGACCCTGAACCTGTCTAGCATTGCATGGAGCTCGGCACCTCGGCCAAGTGTCTGGACAGCATCCATGATGGCAGCCTCGTCGATGTGCGATCCCGATCTCTTGCGCCTGCTGTTCTTCCAGGAGCCCTCTAATGTGTGAAGAAAGCTACTGACCAAGCCATGTACCAAAGCGTCGCTCCGCAGAGCTCCCGTGGCCACGAGAGCTCCGAGCTGAAGGTCAGCCGCATGCAGGCGGCCGGCGGCCACCCCATCACCCAAGGCCCGAACCAGGGCACCATGGGCCGCTGCTTGGGAGTCTTGGTTGCAGTACTCTGGCGTCTTGGGCAGGCGCACCTCCATGAAGGTCCGGAAAGCCGGGGACATCCTCCAAGATGGGATGTGCATGAAGCGCTTGCGGATCAGGCGGATGCGGTCGAGCTTGCTGGGCACGGCGGCGATGTTGTCGAAGTCCTCGCCCTTGAGCTCCAAGAGCATGTAGTCCCTGCCCCGAATGAGCTCCTCGACGGCACGAATGTCAGAATCGCTGGCATGGAAGAGCACGTGTGCATATCGAGCCAAGTCCACCTGATACGATCTCGAGGCGAGGCACACTCGAAAAGCTTTCTTTCGACACAAGGTGAGGCATGTTGTGCAAGCAACGTCCACTCGTCGGCAATGCCCCTTGCACTGCTTGGACTTCACAAAGACAGTCTCTCCACAATGAACAAACAGAGCATCCGCCATGGGATCCTGCTCGCCCTGGGCAACTATCAGGCTTGGCTGTCCCGCTTGGATGTAGTTGACTACGGAGTCCACAATGGGATGCAAGGACAAAGTTTTGTCGTTTCCAGGAGACTCCTTGGCACCGATACTCCTGGGACTGCGGCTTGGCGGCATCGTGGGCGACCAAGGCCACGACCTGATGCTGGGGCTCGTCCTCGTCCGAGCTCTTGTGGTCCTCGTCCTCGTCCTCGGAGCCAGACCAGGGAATGCCGAGGCGTCGCAGACCATTACGATGCCGACGACTCCTTTCGTGATCATCGACCTTCTTTTTGCATGTGTGACTGCAGAATTTCTTCTCGACCTCACATGCTCGGCAGTAGTACACGGCCTGCTTAGACCAGCTCTGGGAAGTCTGTGTGTAGACCTGGCTCCTCTTCTCACGGATGAAAGCTGCCAGCCTCCAGCGATGCTCCCCTGCCTTGGGCCTGCCTCTGTGATGAACTTCGGGACCCAAGGCCGGTGGGTTAGTCTCCGCATCCGCTTCGGCAGGCACCACTGCGGCGCAGCCGGAAGCTGCTGCCTCTGCCTGCCCTGTCCCCATCTGCAGCATCCGCTGCCTCAACCTGATACACACATGACAAGTGAGAGGCCTCAAGATCTCATCCGGAGCTGCTGTGGCCATAAGCAAGTTACGCCAGTGCCCCGGTGTCTCTTCCACCCCGTGAGCATAGTGCTCTCGTTGGAAAAGAGCATGATCTATGTGAGCCTGCCGGGCTAGATCGGTCCCTTTCTCCCGTAGCTTGGCCTTGGACAAAGGCTTCTCGGCCTGCACCTTGGCAGACTTGCGGGCCTTCTTACTTGTCTTCTGTACCACCTGGCGAGGCGTGCTGGCATCTGTGCCTGCGGGAGATGCCTGCAGAGCAGAGGACCTAGGACGATCCGGTCTGGGAGGTGTCATCCTTTGATCTGCCTCGACAGAGTCAGCGGCAGGGCGTTTGCCGGATCGCACAGGAGTGGAGGGCTCTGCGGACTGCTTCGTGGAGCTCGCCGGCACTGATGGCTTGCTTGGCTTTGAGCTGGCATGCGAACTCGCCGGAGCTGCGGGACCTAAGCTGGATACGAAGCCCTGCACTTGGCTTGCAGAGACCTGCACGGCCTCTGGCATACATCCGGTGGATTGCAAGGCTTGCAGCACCGAATCCAGGTGCAGCACAACTCGGTGTCCACAAGACCACTGATCAGGCTGAGCAGTGCAGGCCGCAAAAGCAAGAGGTGCAGCAACAACGTGCCCGAGCTCCTCCCAGTACTTGACGAAGGCAACTGCATGATCGTAGCAGGTGCTGTTGCGTAACCCGTCATACACAAGGGCCCTGCCGTTGAAGATGCACAAGAGGGCCCAATGATTTTCGGAGTACAGCACACCCGCCAGGTTCCTGGACTCCTGGCCCCTCCACGACTGAACATCACCGCAGCTGCCAATGCAGAGCTGCCCTGGCCAAGAGTTTCCGAAGTGTTTCCCAGCCACGGACAAGCAACCTCGAAGCACCTGACCTAGGTCTAGAAGACTAGCAGTGATGTCTCGGTAGGGATATGCTGCCAGCAGCTTCTTGGCGATTGCAAGCCCTGCTCCCGGCTCCAGCTTCACACGGACTGTTGCAGCTTGGCCTGGCTCAGACTTCATCACCTTGATTGGCTGCTGTGCATCCTTCATGGACTCGCTAGACTCAATGGCACGCTTGGAAGTCTCGCTCACTGCAGCTGCCAGGCACTGTCCGTGCACAGACAGCATGCTCTCGACCCAAGGCTCATCCGGGAGTGCACGGCAGATAGACTGCAAGGCCTCCTGCAGCTCCTCCTCGAGATCCGGGAAAGGGCAGTGCTTGACATTCTGTGGATGCTTGTGGTCATTCCATCCAAACCGCAGCACTGCAGGGCGCCAGGAGGGCGGGGCCACATCCATAAGGTCACTCACGGAAGTCGGTAGCCACTGCCGCTTGCTCACATGATCCAGGAAGTGCCAAGGACGGCCGTCGCCCGAGCGGGAGTGTTGCATAACAGCATAGAGCTCAGCAAGCGACACCTCCACATATTGGCTACGTGCTGGCCCTGGCAAAGTTGCAAAGAGCTTCTTCGCGGACCCCTGTGGCAGCATTTGCCTCAGGTGCCCGTTTGGTGGATGAGTGTTTCGACCGATGAGTATTTCCAGCTCATATACCTAAAGTCGCCTACGCCATGCCCCGCATGTCCATGCTCGCACTCCCCGCAAGACCGGAATAGCAGAAGGAGTTAAAGGCAGCAGGCACCGCTCAGGCGAGACACAAGCTCTTGCATAGACGCACCTTTTGCTTCTCCTCCAACTCGTGGATCACATCCGCCCAGAAGCACTGCCACGGCTCTCGGACGTGGGCGCGAACGAGATCACTGACCTGGCGATGGTTGCAGAAGGATATGGAAAGCCACTACGGTGTTCATAGCCTGGGAAATAAGAGGATGTTGGGGGGGGGGTACTGAGTGTTCTCCTACTATTTTCCTCTATAGTAGCCATCCGAGGAAGCTTCCTCCGCAGCCTATTTTGATGATGTGCTACAGGCCTTACAGAACTGCTGTATTTCCCGCTCCGGGCATGTCAATAAGCGGATGCTGGGGGGGGTACTGAGTGTCCCCCTACTATTTTCCTATATGAACGACATCCACGTAGCCCTCCCTCGCTGCCTATTTCCGGACGGTTCGGGTGTGTATTTGTGCTTACCTTGTGCTTACCTATATCAGGGGTCAATACCGTTCCGCACACCTACATAGGGACCAGCTACACTACGCCAACCGGTTCGGAGCCTTGGAAATACGCCGATGCCGGGGGGGGTACTGAGTGTCCCCCTATTACTTTCCTATATGAACGACATGCACGTAGCCCTCCCTCGCTGCCTATTTCCGGACGGTTCGGGTGTGTATTTGTGCTTACCTTGTGCTTACCTATATCAGGGGTCAATACCTTTCCGCACACCTACATAGGGACCAGCTACACTACGCCAACCGGTTCGGAGCCTTGGAAATACGCCGATGCCGGGGGGGGTACTGAGTGTCCCCCTACTATTTTCCTATATGAACGACATGCACGTAGCCCTCCCTCGCTGCCTATTTCCGGACGGTTCGGGTGTGTATTTGTGCTTACCATTGCTTACCTATATCAGGGGTCAATACCGTTCCGCACACCTACATAGGGACCAGCTACACTACGCCAACCCAGAAAGCCTGGGTTCGGAGCCTTGGAAATACGCCGATGCGGGGGGAGGTACTGAGTGTCCCCCTATTACTTTCCTATATGAACGACATGCACGTAGCCCTCCCTCGCTGCCTATTTCCGGAAGGTTCGGACTGGCTTATAGCTCTGTAAGGGGTCCATTCCGTACACCTACATAGGGACCAGCTACAATACGGAAATGCGTCGATGCTGGGGGGGGGTACTGAGTGTCCCCCTACTATTCTCCTCTATGAACGACACATACAGACACCTCCTTCGCTGCCTATTTCGGGAGCTTCTGCTGGGCGGGTATCTATTGAATTCTACAATATTCTACAACAAAGCCATGGCAAACCCAACCAAAGTCGGCAAGGTCTGGGGCAAGTGCCTGCTCTTCACTCTTAACAGGGATGCCAGCTTCGAGGGCGGCGAGCGGGACTCGGGCCGCCTGCCGCAGAGGGCCACTGAGAGCATTGGGTTTGGGAAGGCGTGATTTCGAAGCCAGACCCGTGTCATGGGTGGCTATGTGGCTCAAGACACAGCACTGAACCGAACCAACGAGTAAGATCCATTGCCCTAGTCATCCCCGGCGCCAGCCTCGGAGGCCAAAGAAGGTGTAGACAATGTAGCCACCTGGGAATGAGTCAGTGAAGTGGTTGAAAACAACATGGGCTTGGGGCTTGCACTGCACTCCCACTGCGATTTTCATCTCGAAGCCCGGTGTCACAAACGAGTCGGCTGCTGAGTCTCCGTGAACGACCACGAAAGGAATCGAAAGCAGCAGTGATGAGCGGTGCAGACAAGACGGGCTCGTAGCAGCCCCAAAGTGCCGTGCACAAAAGATACAAAAGAAGGGCTCCAGGCAGCCCCAAAATGCCCGCCTCCTTTGAAGTCTCTCCCCTCAGTCCTTGATACACTCAGCTCTTCCTCGCCTTCTTCGGCCCGGGCACCTGCTCGGCATGATCATGTACAGCAGCACGATGAAGAGCCTTCTTGGTGTACTCATAAGGAGATCCCGGAAGACCTCTGTTCTTTCTCTCGGGAGTCTTGAGGAGCTCGTCTGTGATCTTCTCAATCTCCGGGGCCGGTCCACGGCTCGTCGACGCCATTGCAGTCTTCACGGATATCTCGGCGCTGTCGATGGCCTTCGTGGGTGTCTCTGGGCTCGCCGGCATGGCGGACCAGTCAGCAACCAGGCCTTTCGACACCATCGCCTCGTTCTTCATGGATTTCTCGGCACTGGCGATGGCCTTCGTGGGTGTCTCCGGACTCAGCGGCATGGCTGACCAGTCAACAACCAGGCCTTTGGGAGACGGAATGAAAATCACAGGTGTGTCTGGAGACGGAATCGACGGGTGCATCCACTCCTCGTCGGTAGCAGATCCAGCAGATCCTGTGGTTTTCTTGCCATCGGGCGACTCTCCCACCGTGGTTACCGAGAACGGCGACCTGCCGCGAGGAGACGTGTCCATGACCCTGCGACACAGGCAACGACTCCACTAGACGAGCAACGACTTCAGGCTGATCCAGAGTGATGCGGCCAAGGACAAGTGTGTGCGATCCAAAGCATGCCAAGACCAGGAGCACAGAGTTTTGTTGCCAGACTGAGTACCCAGCAGTGGCAGCATCACCACGACCGGCACATAAAAGCTCGGAGACCTGACCAAAGCATGCAGGGAAGGCAAGCTCGGAGGACACGGAGCACCAAGTGCAAGAGCCGACGGAGTCAGTGATCCAAGGTAGCGGCGATGTGCCCCGGATGCGGCTCGACAGTCACCTCCAGTGAACTAGGGCGTTTTGGGCTTTGGCTTTTGGCTGTGGGTATTCGGAAGCTTTGGGGTTTTGAGTTTAGGGGGTTGGGCTTCTGAGTTTTGTGGCTTTCGGGATTGGGCTGGGTTATGGCCGTCAGGGTTGAGATAGCCCAAACACGGAAAGGAACAAAGTGCAGGACCCAAGCTCCGGGTTGTGGGCTTGGATTCATTTTGAAAAGTAGTCGGACGCGCTTTTTAAGTATGTGGACTACTTATCAAACACAGCATTGCAGGCAGTTGATCCAGTTGAATGATTTTCCTTGGGGTCTAGGGTTTAGGAACTGCGAACCCCGAAGCTCAAGCTCCAAGCCCAAACCCCAAACCCCGAAGCCCAAACCCCACCCAAGCGGAACCACGAACGGAAAGCCAGAACCCATCATGCTAAGAACCCAGCATCACCACGACCGGCACATGGAAGCTCGGAGACCTGACCAAAGCATGCAGGGAAGGCAAGCTCGGAAGATACGGAGCACCAAGTGCAAGAGCCGACGGAGTCAGTGATCCAAGGTAGCGGCGATGTGCCCCGGATGCGGCTCGACAGTCACCTCCAGAGAACCGACACAAGCCACGATCCACCGAGGAAGGCAACAGCTGTCCTCTGATGACGAAGGCTCCGAGGTGGTCTCAGGCAGAGAATGCATTCAATTACCGGAGCACAGAGACACAGTCAAGGATCCGAGGCAGCAGCGATGTGTCCCAGTCCGTGGTGTGGATGATCGTGACGGACCTGAAGCAGAAGCAGGGACAGCCAGAGCACGAGCAAGCCAGAGACGGGAGGAGACGGCACCAGCACCCAAACCAAGGCCCCAGCAGTCGCATCAGGTAGATCGGCAGCTTCAGAAAGGACCTTAGAATCGGCCGCAACCACGGCAAAGGGAGGCAAGGCAAACCGAGAAAACCCACAGGAGACACGGACCCGAGGCAGCAGCATTCTCGGCCAGTGGTTGAGCAGAGACCTGAAGCAGGCGAAAGCAAAGGAAAGTCCCATGCCACAGCCGACGAGAGTTATCGATCCGAGGCAGCAGCAGGTTCAGCCAATGCAGCATGTTGGGAAGTGACCTGAGGCAGCGGGTTAGGGCACAGAAGCCTAAAGCGGGTCGATGGGATTTAGGGGTTCAGGGTTTTGGACAATGTCCGTTTGGGGTTCCGAAATAGCATAGGCGTCAGGGTTCGGGTGGGGCGAGGGCTTCAACCGGAAACAGCATAAAGGAACCACCGAGACCAAAGGAAACCCCCAACCACCAGAATCCCAGCAACCTACCCCGAAGCCGCACGAGCTCGAACACAGGGGTCCGGGCCGAGGATACCATGGCTTCAGCAGTGATGACCTGCAGCAGGGCGGAGGAGAAACCGAGCACGCACAGCCGATGCAGAACGACGAAGAAAGGGCTTCGGCTTGGGGGCGGGGGCAGAGGAGGGGCTTCAAGCAGGCACTCCTACCGTGGGACCGAATGGGTTCGGGTGCCCTGAAGCCTTAAGGGGCGGACGGGGAAACCCGAAAGTGGGAGGGGATCCGAGCTTTCAGGTTTGGGGTTGTAGGGTTTAGGGTCTGGGCTCTGTGGTTTCGGGCGGGGTTGGGATTCGGGGTTTGGTGTTTGGGGTTCTAGGGTTTGGGGTGCGGGCTTTGGGGTTCCAGGTTTCGGCCAAACTCCAATCCCCAAAGCCCAAACCCCACAGCCCCCAAGAGCCAGTAGGGGCTTACAGGAGTTAGAACCCCTAGCCCCACAGCACGCCTGGACAGCTGTTTTCCAATCACAACAAAAAAAAAGCGACGATAGGCTCGAGGCTGTGTGCAAACCCCCGACATCGAAATCGCTATATCCGGCCTATGCCTGGGCTGCGAACCCTTAGTTATAGTGTTGGAACTACCCGGCACACAACAGCCCCGGCCTGACGTGAAACTCACCCCTCGTTCTGTTGCTCTGCGTCGTGCTGTGTTGCTGTGTCTGTGTGCTGTGTCTGTGTGCTGTGTGTGGCTGTGTGTGGCTGTGTGTTTGTGTGTATGTGTGGCTGTGTGTGCTGTGTGTGTTGTGTGTGTGTGTGTCCTGCGTGTGCCCTGCTACTTTGTGAGACCTGCAGCATCTACTCAGTGCTCATATCCTCCGTCACCCGAACTGTCACATCCTCCGGCTGGTCCTGCACAGAACTACTGGCACCACCGTGGCCAGTCTTTGTCTTGCCCTTGCCTTTGCCTTCCTGGAGCACATCCTCATCATCGGAACTGTGAACCGGAGGGATCCACGGCTCTGGGATGCCAAAGAAGAACCGGTTGTGGTGGTCCAGCATCCTGGCATGCAACTCCTGGTCATCGTCCTTCTCCTTGTCATCGTTCTTCCGAGTGTAATCCTCTGGCTTCTCACCTGCCGGCAGCCCGTAGTTCAAGGACTCACTCATGCTAAAGACCACGCCATTGGTCATCCGCATGTTGACCTCCAAAGCTGACAGCCTGTTGAGCACATCCTGCTTCCAGTCGTCGTCTTTCTTCCTGTCATCGTCCGCCTTCTTGTCGTCATCTTTCTTGCTGCCATCGTTCTTGGCGGGCTTCGTCTTCATGGCCTTCATCGCTGCAGCCTTCATGGCCTTCATCGCTGGCTTCTTGGCCGGCATGCTCTTCATGGCCTTCATCCCTGGCTTCTTGGCCGCCACTTTCGTGGCTTTCATCGCCTTCATGGCCGGGGCCTGAGCAGGCCTCTTCATCTTTCCACGTTTTTCGCAGAAAATCTGCGATGGACACCCAAGGATATCGAATCTCAGGGAGTCAGACAACTCAAGGCCAAAGGTGCACAGTGTGATACAGTGTGCTCAGGGAGCCAGAAAACTCAAGGCCAAAGGAAATGCCGCGATCAGCCAGGATATCGCAGGATAGCTATGGCGAGCAACGGATAATCAAGCTGATCCCAAACCTATGGCCGCGAGGCAAATAGTTCTCAGACCTAACGGATTGATGGACCACTGTGTCCGAAGGATCAAAGCCATGCGAGGTGAGGTTCTTCGATGCACAAGTTGTCACAGTTTGGATTCGTACTGCTAATCAAACCGATCATCACAATCAAGCAAGCTGCTCCCCGTTTGGTCCGCAATGTCCACATGCCACGATATGCCACGCGATGCACACATGCACTCACTCAAACTTCTCCCAAATGGTTGGTCACTCGCACTGATAGCCGAAACTCAAGCAACCTCGCCAAAGCAGCCCTCCCCTGCCTCTTCCACGAAAGCATCTGGCTGATGATCGCCACGGCCAGCTAGAGCCTGCAACGCACGGGCAAAGGAGGGAAGAGTTCTTCGGATCACTCAACCCCGAAACGCCTGCTCACCCGTGGCATGGCCCAATCAGTCAATACGCCAATCCAAGAAATCCTAAACCCTCACGAACCCATCGAGCATACGGCCAAGGCTGAGCATCCAGCCGTCACGGGACCGCCTCCTTCAGGGATCGAGACCTGGAGACACGGGCATCCAAACCACGACCCAGCGAGAACAAACCTGAAACCCGTGCCAATGCCTCGATCGCTAGGGGAGCCGAAGTGCCATCCTTCCATGTTGCAGACGCAGCCGGCCACATACGAGAAAGTCGGGCCCCGACCATGTGCAATGATGTCGCCTGCTCTGACGTCACGACCTGGGCAAAAAGCACGAAACAAAGACATAACTTGCGGGCTGTCCCAAGGCCCTGGCCGCTGGAACCGATGGAGCCAAATCTGCCTGTCGCACAAAGGAAAGCGAAGCGAAGAGCCAGTGCAGCAACCAAAGCCACAAACCCCCGAACCCACGTAACGAGAAGATCGGACCAGCCAAGGCCACGGCCGTCTGAGAGGAAGTGACACACGATGTCGATGGAGGCTCCTTTCAGACTGTCATGGAACAGCCCAGAACACGAGACAGGATGAGATGGTGTCCTGCGCATCCTGCTGTACAGGAACAATTGCATCCTGCACCGAGCGAGCCGCAGAAACCCAAAGCAAAGATTAAGCAACAAGAACCCGTGCCCACCTCCGATGCCTCGCCGAAATCGCCCATTGCCCGAGCTCTGTCTCGCAGCTCCAAAGGAGCCTGAAGCGAGGGATGACACCCGAGAACGGAAATCTGTCGTTGTTGTCCAGGCCTTGTGCACTCCGGTTTCCGCCGCCCAAGCATCGGCCTCGGGAGTTGATGGGATCTCTCGGTGGGATTTCAGAATGTTTCGAGGAACCCTGAAAAGAAACTCGCAAGCCTGCTTCATCGATCTGAAGCGCTTCTGCTCGCCGCCGTCGGCATGCCGCCAGAAGTAGTGGACTGGCGGGAATAGCAGGCACTCCGAATCAAAAGCAAGGGCACAATAAGAAACGTGACACAACTGCGACATGGTGTAACAAGACTGGCCGGTGGTGCAATCTGAACGGCCATTGTTGTAGTCGCGGTACACGACGGACCACGGCATCCCCACAACACAAAACAGGCCTGCTTCTCCTACCCGTACTGGTCCTAAAGTCCGGAATGCCTCACAGGGAAGTTCAGAATGCTGTGCCTGTGCCTGCGGAAGGAATCACTGTAGAAGTGATCCTGTGCAAGTCTAAAGAATGCTGTGCCTGCGAGAGGAATCATTGTAGAAGTGGTCCTGTGCAAATACTGTTACTCCGAGAAGCCGCCTGAAGCCCCTGGGCACTTGCCCTTGCAGCGAC